CTTTGGAATTATGCCTGTTGCCGAGATGATTATAGGAATAATGCTAACTTCTTTTAATTTCCATACATGTTTTATCTCAATTGCTAGATTCTCATATTTAACTTTTTCAGACTCGGTCTTCTGCAGGTTGTAGCTATTCGGGCAAGCAACATCAATTATCTTTGCTGTTTTGGTATCTTTATTTATCAGCACAATGTCGGGCCTATTATAGTCTACTGTTCTGTCGGTGAGAATTGGTCTGTCCCAGTATAGAACATATTCTGAAGATTCAAGGACTGGTTCAGGGTCATATTTGAAATATGGTGGAAGATTCTTCTTAAGTTTAAGGTTGTTGGCCATCTTTGAGTGAATAATTTTGCTACTTGGTTGTGTCTGCCTAAATATGCATTAGCAGAGAGCGCCGAGCAACCTGTTGTTATATGAGCAATTGTTTCTCCTGGTTTATGGCATTTTCTACACACATCCTCAACTCCATTCTTCAGAATATTTCTCTCGTAGTTTCTAGTTCTTATGACCTCGGCTTGTATTGCTACAATAAAACCCTCGGTCTCTGGATAAAGAAATCCTCTTCTTAGCCATTCCAGAGACCGCTCTTTGTCTACATTCTGCTGCTCTAGGGATGCAGGATATCTTCCATGGAGAACTTTTTCCCGCCACTGTCTGTTCCTTAGTTCTATTAGTTGTTAGTTTTCAAACTGGTCTCGGCAGTCCTTAAGGTTTAACGCAGAGTAATTGCTATCTGCATCCACTATCATCTGGGTAAGCGGGCTGTTGTTTTGTTGGAAATATGTTCTCATTTTGTGCTCTTGATTTTTACACAACTCATACAAATTCAGAAGCCCCTTCCACCTTCTATTCTCTTAAGATACATTCTTTCCACAGCAGACTTAGGGTGGTGCATTCTAAATTTAGTCATTAGTACCCGCGTGAGTCGATCTAGATCACGCAAATCTGTATCAGAATACTTAAGTACGCCAAACGAATATATCAGTACAGGTACAGCCCATGCATTTATTGCTTTTATTAAGTTTCCAGATGATAAATTTGTATTTAATTATTATTATTATTATTATTATTATTATATAATTATACATACAAAATGACAGCGTTCTTCATTTCATAGCCATCGCTGAAGCCGTTTTTTTTCGATTATATTTGTATTATTACAATACATATAAGGTCCGCATTAAATTTACCTAGCTTGCAGACATGTGTTTTTCCAGTAAAATTGAAATAAAAATGAGTTAACCTTTTTTTATCTTCAATATTATGTAATATCAAATTTAATATGAATATTCAGTGCGTTTCAACAGTGGCTCACCCTTATATTTTATCAGATAAAAAAAAGAGATTTGGTATGTTAGTTACGACATAAATTAGGATTGATTGACGTATTCAATTGTTTTCGGCAATTTCCTGTTTCTCCGCAAATGACTAACTTTTGATTTTTAAATGACACCTTCGGTATTTTTTTACTTTATTCGATAGAGATTGACATATCATATGTCAACTTTTGACATTTTTGCTTAAAACAACATTGATTTTTAAACTCCAATCTAGAGTGCCATGGCTGTGTTAAAAACACAATTTTTAATCAAGAAGCCTTGGAAAAATAGATTTGATAGTCTAATGTAATTCGTGTCTTGTCCTGGCGTATTTTTAATCATACCTCAATTTTTTCAAATGGAACGAGGGTGGCTCTTAGCATATTAGCATATGTGGAAAAAGCATTTTTTTACAAATGATTTGGTACCACACACTTGGTATTTCGAGACAAATTGTCGTTATGAATCGCATGTTACAATTTCAAATAAACCATATTCAAAAATATCAAAAGTTGACATATGATATGTCATTCTATTCAGAGTGTCATTTTCTATCGAATAAAGCAATAAGTCATCGAGGGTACCATTTAAAAATCAAAAGTTGTAGTCATTTCCGGTGAAACAGGAAGTGACAGACAACAATTGAATACGTCAATCAATCCTAATTTATGTCATATATTAATATACCAAATCTCTATTTATTATATGAAAAAATAAAAAAGTTATAGGGGGTGAGCCACTTTTGAGACGCACCCGGCATATTATAATTACAAAGCAATAATTATTATATAGTAAAAGTCTATACACATATTTAATTTCTTCTTTTTTTTGTTTATTGTATCATTAACGATCAATATTGTACGTCAGATGCGAATCCTCAGTGATCTATAGCATTAGTAAATTAATTTTTTCAGGTGTTTCTGTTTCCTTTGGGACTGGAACGGGAGTTTTCCTCTTCGGAAAAACTTATAAAAAATGTATTGGACGTAATTGTACGTTTGAAGCCAAGAGACTTTATTAAGTGTCGGATGTTGAATTATAAAGCAAGTTTCTTCTTGTTCAAAAAAAGACGTCACAAAGTGCGTCTGAAAAAGACCATTTTTAGATTGTAAATTAAAATGTTACGGAACGAACGGTTTCCATTAAAATTTTTAATTTATATATTCATTGCTCCTATTTTTTTAAGACTCTTGTAGTCTTGCGATTTTTTTCACGCAACATTACATATAAATGAATTTACAAAACAATTTAATTTATTTTCTATGCAGAAATTGCCTCCGATAAAAATCAATTAAAAATGTAGAAATTGTTACAGTTTGAATAATTACACTGTTTTCTTCATTTACAATTCAATCACACTGTTTAAATTATTTAAACTACTATGCTCATTGTATAGTGAGAACTGTTCTTTAACTCCAAAAGGCAATTCAGTGTACTTTTGTATTGACTAAGAGTGGGTCCCAGGTGGGACCCTCCACTGTGGCCGCGAGGGCCTATTGTGGCTCAGTACAAGCTCTTTAATAGGAAAAGAGCATTAAAGTTCGCCCTCAAGACCCAGCTTTTTAATATAAGCCATTATGTCCGAGGGTGATATGTCTCCTAGGTTTGGTTTGGTATAGCTAGGTAGGTCTAGCGTGGGTTTGCCAAACACTTCAAACCTGGTCCTGCCCCCAGCAGGGCAGGTACACATAACATGCTTCATTGTTTCGTCATCTTCCATACAGAGTCGGCATTCGGCGTCTTTCACAAGTCCCCACTGAATGTGTGATCTCAGCCGGCAGTGGCCCGTGTATACTGCAGTGAGCGTATGCGCTCCGTTTCTAGTCCCGGAATTCCTAGTCCGTTCTGCCATTCCAGTCCCGGAACGTCGCACCCCTAACCCATTCACAGTGCCTGTCTCTTGCGAGATTTTTTGGAACGCTAAGTGTCGGTTCTGGGCCCACGAATGGTGAGCCTGTACTAATTTTTCCGAGGGAGTTTGGGCCAGTGTACTTAAATTATTAAAACAGTTTTATATTTTTAATCATTGTATCGTCGATAACAACAATATATTAACGAATTATTGCTAGTCAAACTTCATTAATATTATTTTGAAAGATATATTACTGAGAAAAAAATAAGAGGATGACCTACAAAAAGACATGAGATCCATTAATGTAAAGAAATAGTCTCGCAAATCAATTCTTCCATGACAAAAAGATGCGAGATCTCATGTAAAATCAAGTCAGTTTATTTCATTTAGTTTTGATGGAAACACCTCTTCAACAATTTACAACCATTTCGATTACTAGAAAATCTAAACAGTGCGCTTAAGAACAAAGTGGTTTAATTAGTAATTAGTAGGATATCATACAGTATATTTGCCACGTCATTATAATTATTATATAGAAACAAAGCTATCTAATATTGAGATTACCAATTTATAACAAAATTGTTCAATAGGTGCTTCAATAGAACTAAAAAAAATAAACTGACTTGGTTTTTATGAGGTCTCACGACTTCTTGTAAGTGGAAGAATTGAGTCGCGAGACATAACATTTTTTTACATTCTATGTTTTTGATGGGATATTGTTTAGTGTTACAATGATTGCTAAATATTTAATTATTTTAAACAAATTATTTTATTTTCATTTGTATCCAATAATATTGGGTAAAAAAAGAAATTAAAATCATTTGCTATTATTGTTTTTTATTGTTGTTCAATGCTTCAAATCAGAATCAGTTATACTCATACACACGCTTTCAGTCAGTCAACCGACTGCTAAACTCGGACGGCGAATTTCAAAACAACTAACGAACTGTTGGCGCTGAGTTAAGCGCGGCGAGCTCCCTTGTAAAAAGCTCGTTAACCGCCCTTTTGGGCCCCAATCAAGCGGGCCCGGCTGCGACGAACCCGAGATTCGAATACCGATGCCGAGGCGATTATTTTGGAGTTTTTGCGATCCGACTGAAAAAAGTATATCGTAAAAATATCGAACATTGGTTAATTCAAATTAGAAGAATTTAAGTTCTATTAGCAACTGCAAACTCACAGAAAACTTAAGTATTTTTTTACTTAAATCATTTTAATTACTTAAGTCATCTGATTTTAAGTCTTTTTTCTAAAGCTGACCTAAAACACGCTCTACAATGAGCGGAGAATAGATCGAAACAGGCCAAGGTCGCGTTTCGTCGCCTAAGTTAGGCACGTTTCGGCTTATTTCGTCTTGTCTTGACCTATTCTTAAAAGCTCCTCAAAACTATACGTGAAATTGCGGAGAAGGGCGTGGAGGGATTTTTTTGGCGTTTCCTGTTGTCTCGTTCGCGTTTCCAATTTCGTTTCGTTTCGAGCTGTTTTCAAAACGTGGCGGTATCTGTACCCGAGGCGAAGGACTTTTTTTCATAAATCTCAGTGAAATAAGTAAACCTAGGCGTCTCTAAAATATCTGTTGTTACGATTATATTTCGTCAATTACATCTCGTTTTATGTTGATATATATTCCACAAGATTAATATTTGAACACGCGTTTATACTATGTAAAGTAGATATTTAAGAACAAAACTTTTCATTTAAACTACAGGAATATAATTACATATTTTTATTATTTAATTTTATTGATAGACGGAATCGAAAAAATTATTTAGCTGTGAATAAATGGCTACATGAATTAACTGTGACAGTTAGACAATATTCAATTATAATTTTATTATTTAGTTTTATTGATAACGTTTTTGTATAATTTGTCTAGATTTTGGCAAATGACAAGCTGACACATTATGCAACCCACTCTCTTGACCTTCAATGCTTAGACGTATCCGTAATTTTTCACGAATTTCGTCTTTATTATAAGCAAACTGTAACTCGTCGATAACATCGCTGACCAGATCGTGTTCTATGCAGAGCGGGCATGGACTTGTTGCGCATATTTTTTCTATCGGATGTATTACCTGTGGCCGTCTGTAATAAAATAACATCTAATTAATAAAAAATATGGTATGTAATCGCAAAACAATTTCCGATGCACGTGATCAACTTTGAGTGAAAAGCAACGACGACAGCGCTGTCAGACTGTGATGGATATATGAGATGAATCTTAATTTAAAATTGACAAACAACATATTTATTATATCATTTTTTAAAGAGTTTTACGTTTTATTTTTAATTTAATAACTAATATTTTAGTGATTAATTGATTTATTTGTTTTATAGCTTATTTTACTTATTACATATTGGCAAAAACTAGTCCATTATGAAGATTATTATAAGAGTTATGATGGGTTATTTATTCATTGATGTACATCTTACAACGCCATAAGTGGTAATAACAAGTAAGAGGGTTTGGTTTTTATTAAAATCAGAGAATTTAGTAAAAACTAACTTTGAAAGTGTACAATGTGCTTATCAATCAAACTTACTTTTCTCACTGCAGTCACGGGTAAATAAAGGACCTTTATAGTCACGTTCTTGTTAAAAATAGTTTCAAAAAACAGGGAAGCTACAAGCTCTTTGCTTCGGCTGTTTAAATGCTTCGGTATATTTTCAACACACAAATTCCAAGAAATGCAATACAAAAACTCGAAAATTTAGTTCCTAAAAGAACTGTTTGTGCTTAAAAGCGCAATTAAAAAAACTATGAAAATAGGCAAAAAACGAAAATTACTCACAAAGATTCAACAACAGCACGATATTATACAAAATAATGACTGACACTAGGATAATTGTCAAATAATAAAGGACCACATTGCTGAACACGGCGTAATGTGACCAATATAGCGATAATAAAATTCGGTTTAAACTAATTTTTGCAGCTTTCATCTAAATAAAATATCTGTTATATTCATTTGCTCTATAAAATAAAATGAAGAGCTCCTCGGTATCTTAAATTATACAACAAATTTAAACATTTTTGCCAAAACTTAATTTAGTCAGGTTTATAGACTTTAGTGTCAATGTCGATATGATTGATGACGTGCATCGGAAACTGTTTTGCAATTACAATATATCAAAATCTTTTTAAATAATTGCCGAATCTCAGAAATAAGTCGTTAACACAGTTCGTAAAATTACACACAATTTTTCTATTTATGATACGCATTGTTTTATACAGGATGTCCCAATATTCCAAGGACATAGAGCTAATACATATTTTTGGAATCAAAATAAGTTCATCGGACACAGTTTTATTTATCTCTACAAAAGTGCTTTGTTTGTCCGTTACAGGGCATCAAACTTTAAAAAAATAAACACATTTTTTCAGATATTTTAACTGTTATTCCGATTTGAATGAAATTTTAGATGTGTATGTTTTGCTAAGTGTATTAACATTTGGCTTTCACAAAAATTAAGAAAAAGTACGAGAAGGGTGAAAAATACCCCCGCCCCTACATAAATTTTAGTATAAATATTTTCCAAAAATCCACCGACAACAGATTTTCTTTTTCTAAAATGGCCTCTCTAGTATTTACTACAGTTATTGTCTCTTGTAAAAAAACGCCAAATCGCATAGTTTTTGACAAAAAAATTTTTTGGAAAATTTATTTTTCCAAATCAGACCTATAAAGTATACGAGGAGTTCCAATATTCCGTGGACATAGAATAACTACGTATTTTCTGAATTAAAATAAGTAAATCGCAGACAATTTACCTTTCTTCAAAAGTGCTTCGTTTGTCCGTTAGAGGGCATCAATCAAAAATAAACCAGACCATAAATTAATTTATTTTTTTAACCTTCTTATGAAGATTTATGTCAAATGTAATTTATGATACTAACATATAAAATTACATATTTTCGCTAAATAAGTTATTAGAACATAATAGATTTTATGCGCCTCCATAGATTGATATGACAAAAAACATTTTTTTAAATATTATTTTTTCTCAAAAAAGTATGCATGGTGGCGTTTTTTTACAACAGACAAAAAATGTAGTAAATACTTGATGGATCATTTTCCGAAAAAGAAAATCGGTCGTCGGTAGAGTTGGAAAAAATTTATACTAATATTTATGTACGGGTGGGGGAGTTTTTTTATGTGGCTGGCCGTAGCTCCAGCGTTAGTGTGTCGATCTGCGGAGCGGAAGGTACTGGGTTCGATCCCCAGCCAGTACGCTCGCTTTATTTATTTAAATAAAAATATTTATTTATCTAAATAGAGCGACCAACGAGCCGCCACCTCAAGGAAGGCAATGGCAAACCATCTTGAGTATATTTGCTTTGTGCAGCCTCTCAAATATGCCGTTCGGATTCGGTAATAAACTGTAGGTCCCGTGTACTTGTGAAACACTGATGACATACATCACAAGTACATGCGAGAGGTAGCCGACGCTCTATATAGAGTATGGCACTGTAAGAAGAAGAAGAAGGGGGAGTTTTCATCCTTCCCGTACTTCTTGATTTTTGTGAAAGTTACATGTTAAAGTACTTGGCAAAACATAGACACCCATACATACATTACTTGTTGACGAGTATTTGACATGCATCAGAAGATGGTCACATAAGGCGTTTTCTCTCATGAGCTTTTCTGTGACTGAAAAGCCCGATACGTGATGCTATCTGTCTACCGCACTCCGGACATTCAAAAAATTTCTTTGCTTTGTTGCCTCTTTACTTTTTGGTTGTCGCTTAACAACTCGTAACTGAGTTTTCAATTCTATATTCCATTCTATTGTGAGCTGCTTCTTCCCACTCATTCTGTATTCCCCTTTAAGTTTTCGTTTAAAATATCCTTGTACCTTCTGAGTTGTCCACTCGGGCTCCCCTTACCGTCTACAAGCTCACCGTAAAGCTGAGATTTTGGTCTGCAACTTGTTTAATGCATGCATATATCCGGCACCCAGGTTTTGTTTCCATATGGTGGGAATTATTATTGCTCGATACACTGCAAGTTTTGTTTTTGTACTCAAGTTATGACTGTAGAAAACCCTGTCTTTTAATTTCCAGAATGCTCTTGAGGTGCTGCTAATCCTGTGCTGAATTTCGATATTGGCCTTTTCCGAAATCAAACTGCCGAGGTAATTGAATTCCGCTACATATTCCAATAGTTATTTTCCTATTTTTATAGCATTGTTGTGCTCTTCCAGGGATTGCACATGATTTTAGTTTTATCGAGGTTCAGCTTAAGTGCCAAAGCCTAGTATGCCCAGGTATATGTGTTCAACATTTCTTGCAATAGTTGTAACGTATTTGCAACTAGAGCACAGTCATCAGCGTATTGAAGTTCTGTGATGAATTTTGTACAAGCTTGATGCTCTGACGGATAAATGAAGCACTTTAGTATAGATATAAATTGTGTCCAATACATTTACTTTGATTCCAAAAATACGTAATAGTTCTATGTCCACGGAATATTGGGACACCCTGTATGAAAGCCTATATTAGGTAAAGCTAACAACCTTCTCTAGGTAATTTAAAGCTGAAGTGCCTCTATAATGAAAAGAATGATCAATATACAGTATGTCCTCGGATTGTTTTTAAAAGAGAAAAAACTTTTTTTATATTGACATTTTGAGAAACTTGACATTTTGAGAAACATGCATTCTTCATAAAAAAAATTGCTATTGTTCTAAAATTATTAATCCTTAATTAATTTATAAACTTTCATACCGTTTAGTTTTCATGCTCTGATGTCCGCAATCTGGATCTATTGCCAAAAGAACGTTCAAGGGAAACCAAAAAACAGTAAACTTAATGCTCAGTATGTTACTGATAACTATTTTGGTTTTTCTTTATTATTGATAATAATTATTAAAGAATTCTGGAGGGCGAAATTTACAGGAGTCTATTCAAAGGGTAGCTTTAGTTGTTTGATTTTTAATTATTCGTAACAACTAATATGTAAAATTTCAATATAAAAGACAATACAGTTCTGCTAATTTAACAAAATCGATGATTTTCATCATTGATGGTTTGTCATTTTATTTTATAAGTCAATCGTTTTTTTTACTTTTTTGTAATTTTTGGATGTCTTCTGTCGAACTGGTTCTTTATTTCATTGGACAGACTTCACATTACTAAGATGATACTTACCTATCTTGCCGCACAACTTGAGTGTCAGATTTAGTTCCTTTCTTTTGTTCTAATTGGTGAACAGATACAAGAGCTTCCTGTATATTACTTTCAAGAATTTGGAGATACAACAAGGCATTATATTTATGGATTGTTTGATTGTGACCTAAAATAATGTATAAAGTTTTTTTTTAACTTTATAATAGTTATTTGTGTACCAAGGCCGTAAAGTTTCAAGTACCAAGGCCGTTAAAAATCAATGCCAAGCCAAGCAAATTTCAGGTGAGGACAAAAAAAATCATACGGCCGAGGTGCACACAAAATTTTTTGAAGCCAGTGTCTTTTGAAATAGGTAACATTTTTTTTACAATTTTGTTTCTAAATAAAGACGAAACTGGAAGATTAGATTCAATTTTTTATTAACCAAATGAAAAGTTTTTATTAACCAAAAAATGAAGTTTTAGGAATCTATTATAGCGCTTTCAGATGGAGCGGAGCGTCGGCGACGGAGCGTCCGCAATTTCACGTGGGCGCGTGCTCCGTCCGACAGGGTTCGTCCGACGGCTATCTTCAATTGAAAATATCGTGGACCGATAGGATAACTAATGAAGAAGTACTCAATATGATGCAGAAGGAGAGAGAACTATTAAATATAATTAAAAAACGGAAGACCTCCTACTTAGGACACATAGTTTGAAATGAAAAATACAACATTCTACAGCTCATACTTGAAGGAAAAATAGAAGGCAAGAGGGGAATAGGTAGAAAACAGCTTTCATGGGCGAGAAACATCAGACAGTGGACCGATCTGAAGACTATAGGAGAGCTCATAAACACCGCAAGAGATAGAGACAGGTTTCAACATGTGGTCGCTAATATCCAGTGAATGGATAGGCATCTGAAGAAGAAGAAATGAAAAGTGTATTATTAAGTAACAAAGATGTGTACAGAATTACTTACAGTATTATAAACAGAAGTTGGGTTATAAAGAAGTTAATAAATTAGGGCATTATTTGCTATTAATTGTTATGTTAAATCTACGTTTATTACATTTTGAAAAAGTAATACCACTTTTAAACATGACATTGTTAATAAACATTTCATTTTCTTGATTTTCAGTGACAATGATTTTTGTTGGAAAGTTGCTGACTGAAGTCCCATTTAATTCAATTTCTTTGGAATTATTTTGATCAGAAAAACGTATACCTGAAGTATCTTCTCCTCCTGCAAGAATTCTATTTGAAATTTCATTCTTTCTTGAAATGGAATCTTCAATGTAGCCTTCTGCTACATAGTTAGATTTCCAACATTCGTGGCTTTTTAACATTAAAATATTAGCCCCTGTTTCAACCAAGAGAGAGGCTAAACTTCTTCTAAAAGAATGATTCGTATACTCATTAGTATTTGGTAATTGTAGATACTGTGCAATAAGTGATGGGATTTTTCCAAAGGTACGAACACCAACAACTTGTGTAGAATACTGTCCTTGGCGATAATTTATAAAAAACGTTTGATGACGTACATTGAAAGGTCGTAAATTTAGGTATTGCCGAATAAGCTGTAGGGCACTTATATTTTTAATTATTTCATTAGTTATAGTAAATACTCGTTTTTTACCAGTTTTTTTCTCCGGGATTGTGATTATTAACACGTTTCCTTTGTCTTGAATATCATTTATAGACAACTGCCTTAGTTCATTTCGTCTACAAGCACCAATAAATCCAATTATTAAGCAAACCTGAAAATATCACAATATAGTTATAAGAAGAATGAACTTTAAAAATATTATGTTTTATTACCTTCCACATTAAGTAGTTCTTATCTGGAGCTTCTGTAAAGAATTTATTGATATCCTCTCTTGTAAAAACTGCCGATTTTTCGCTTTGTAACCTACATTTTGCTTTTTCAATAAAGCATTCAGTTTTGAAAACTTGTTGATATCAATGTCATTTTTATTTTTGACTATAATTGTTGATTTTAACATCGAGTATATGGACCATAATGTTGATGATTTTGAAACCTTGGTCTTTTCCAGAAAAAATGCGAGAAGTACTTCTTCTTTTAATTTTTTAATATTATGTATGTTGCACCATTAGATTGGAAAGTGCCCATAAGGACAATGTAAACACTATTTGGCGCTATTCTTGCAATTTTGAAAACCTAACGCTTTTGAAAATTTCGAAGCGGTTCCGTTTTTTCCGGAATTATATTGCCAAATAATGTTTATTCAAATTTATTATTATTTTCTATTAATTTTATAAATAAAATACAGTGTGTTGCATACAAGAAACTTTATTTTATATAAGGACATGGTATGAAATACCTATGAAACATTGAAAACCGACATTATGCCACGGTCCACGATGATTTTTGCAGTTCACATTTCACAGCACAGCTTTTTAAGTTTATAATGCCACTTTTTCACAATTATCACGGGTTTGAGCAAATAAAACTTAAATTAAACTCACAAGATAGCAATAATTACTTTGAAAATGGACGCTTTAAACACTTTTTGGAATTTTTCCAATGAGAGCGGTTTAGATGTTGAAAGATTTTATAATTTTTGAAGAATCTGACCTTGACAAGAGATATGGACAAGAGAAACTTATTTCTGTTTTTGTTTGCGGTTGTTCTTAGCAACCGCTATAGTAGCGCCAGATCGCGTACAACGGTCGCGAACCAAAACAATTTCGCGACCTAAAATTTTGACGGACATTCCAATCAAAATTTATTTTCTTTATCTATGTGTTGCACCATTTCATAAAAATGTTATACTGTTTTAAGTAAATTTGCCTGGATTTTTCAGGTAATAAATTTACAGTGGCTGCATTGGCGGCTTCATAAATTTCAGCTGGATTGTCGCTATCACTGTCATTCATATTTCCTTTTTAACTGTTTTTATCACAGTATATACCGTGTAATGTGGTTTTTATTTTTTCTTTGTTATTTATTTTAAATTTCATTTCACTGATAGAAACGGAAAGCTTGTAAATAAATAGCCTAGCAACGGAACCTTTTCTTTTGTTTTATGGGTAAATAATCCAAACATGCAAATTAAGTGTGTCTAGTAGGCCGCCTTTATAATTTGATAATCTTAATATCGGACGTGGAAATAGGTAACTCAAATAAGTAAATTAAATATGTCTAGTAGGCTGCCTTCATAATGACTTTGTTTGCAAAATCGGCCGTAAAGTAAAAAAGCGGACAAAAAAGATTCACTTAACAGCGCTTTCAGATGGAGCGGACCGTCCGTCGTGTTTTTTCAAGACAGCCGTCGGACGAACTCTGTCGGACGGACCATAAGCGCCCACGTGAAATTGTTCATATAAACTACTGGTACTTGCTCGAAATTGCGGACGCTCCGCTTCATTTGAAAGCGCTGTAATAGATTCCTAAAACTTAATTTTTTGTGACACTCGCTTAAAAAAATGTTTTATGCGATTCTATCGACTCATACTTTTTCATTCTTTATATAATAATTTTAAGTTATAATTTTAATTGTAAATAAGTAATCGTTTCTGATTTAAGTTTATCGAAAATTGTAATTTAAGAAAAATACAGTTGTCAAATAACAATATACAAAGTTGTTCACGTTATTCGATATGGAGTATTGTAACCAAATGATTAGATTTTTGAAAATTTTGACTGATGGGATCGTTGGAGGATTACTAAAGCTACAATATAAAATTATTTGCCAAAGGTACACAGTGTCCCAAATAAATAAAAATATCAAAGTTGTATTTTTTGATCGAAACACCCTGTATATTATTACATTTTTAGTTTCTACAATTAAAATAGAGGTAAATTTGATGAAAGTTTCCATGGCTACATCGATTAATATCGATTAATAAATTTTGAATTGAAAGAGAGAGCTGAAAATGGCATAATAAAATTTGTTACACAATTACATTGTGCATCTGATTACGTGAAATATACAGGGTGTTCCATTTAAATTAAACAAGTTATTGTCGTTTAAAGCTAGTCATTATTTAGAATATTTATTTTACACTCTGTATAAGATAGCATTAGTTTTATTATTGCAACACAATATTTAGTAAATAGAAAAACTTCAGTACAATATTTGGTTTTAAAAATACGCCTAGAGAAATAAAGCATAATTATTGTTTTCATAGAATCGTAAATATTTCAAAAATGGTAAGATTAAAGTGCTGTAAACTTTAATCATTTTTTTTTAATCGTAGCAACTAAAAATTTAATAATATATAAAGTGTTCCATATAAAAAAATACAAGTTTGATGTTTTTTTTATTTTGAGACTAGCTGTACCTTTTGAAAATATAATAATTTTAAATTGTAGCTTTAGTAGTTCTCCAATGATCCCATAACTCACAATTTCAAAATCTAATCTTTTGGCTACAATACTCCGCGTCGAATAGCGTGAACTTTCCTGTATATATTTTTGAAAAATTTAAATTAAAAATTATCTGGACTGCGTGTATTGACCAGTTTAGTCGCAATTGCTTAGTTAGTTGCATTTTCTTGATAAAAAGAACCTCAACTCAATGTATTATGCAAGGAAATACATATTTATGTACATTTTTGCTTTACCATTTTAAACTGTAGTTTATTACCTAGCATTAATATCAAAGGATCATTGTTACATCTAAAGAGTTTAAATAAAGTTCCTATGCCAGTCAGGATAACGTTTAATTTCTGGTCAAGTGTTTTTAACTCTTCCTCTTTATTTTGAACGGATTTTCGTTTTTCTTCTACTTTTTCCTAAAATGCATTTAGATCATAATAATATATTGTGGATTTAGTATAAAAATCCAAGGACGAACTTTTCTAACAAATTAGCGCTACTGGATAGACCAAAGACATCTAAATAAAGGGAGACAAAACAATTTACATTTTATCGCGATCACGCAAAATCGTGTTCCGCAAAAATCGATGATGACAGATTTACGCGGTATGTGATAGAATACGGTTCGAATTCCAAATGTTATTATTGTTATTAATGTTTTTTGGGTATCTATAGAAACGTTAAACTAAATATTTGTATACGTATATAACTTTAATTAATAAAAATTGATTGTGTCAGGATTATACCTTTGAAATTATTTTTAGTTTTCTAATTAAATTATATTAGGGAAATTACAATTATAACTAACAGCATCACTGTGGATTCATCTTTACTACGAAATTGTCGAAATCTGTAGGAATTACGCTGACATTTGACGTTTTCATTTGTTTTCATTCAACTTATATTTGACAACGCGCGGTTGTTCTGCGGTAGTTGAAAGTTTTTGTAGCTTTTGAACAACTTTCTAATGATTATTAGTATTTATTGCAAAGAAAACTATTTAAAGTAGTTTTTAACTATCTACGATGGTTCGCCAGTGTTTGTAAAGTTTATAAACCATGTAAGTTTGTAAAAAGGTGGACTATTCTAACCAGGAATTGATATTTAGACGGTAAGTGTCATTGCGTTCTTTTTACCTTTAGCCATACTTACAGTAGCGTATTTAGATACTTATAAATAGATTATTACGAAAATACGTATATTTTCTTATTTGTTGGCGCTTTCGATTGTGAAATTAGAGTTACCCTCAGTTAGACCTCAGGCAAAATTAGTTATAATGGAAAATTGGTCTGAGGCAATCTCAATCAATTTTTGATAAAATTCATCAATTTTTGATAAAAAAAAAAACGTCACACCACCGTTACGCCACTGATAGAGCCAAATAACAGAAAGATAGACGAAACTTAACCGTGTTGTCATATTTATGTACCCATCTCATTTTAACTCTCATAAAAGTGTCAAACCATGTATGATTATAAAAAATTGAGTTTTATGTCTACCCATTTAGATGTCTTTAGGATAGAAACCCTCAGATCTTTTAAATAAATACAGGTTGTCCCAATATTTCGTGGACATAGAACTACTACGTGTTTTTGGCATTATTTGCCACTATACTAAAGTGATTTGTTTGTCCGCTAGAGGGCATCAAACTTTTTTTATGTCCCAATATTCCAAGGACATAGATCTAATACATATTTTTGGAATCAAAATAAGTTCATCGGACACAGTTTTATTTATCTCTACAAAAGTGCTTTGTTTGTCCGTTACAGGGCATCAAACTTTAAAAAAATAAACACATTTTTTCAGATATTTTAAGAACCGTTATTCCGATTTAAATGAGATTTTGGGTGTCTATATTTTTCTAAGTGCTCTCATATTTGACTTTCACAAAACTCAAGAAAAAGTACGGGAAGGGTCAAAACTACTCCCACCACTAAATAAATTTTAGTATAAATATTTCCAGACTCCACCGAAAGCCGATTTTCTTTTCGTAAAATTGCCCCACTGGTATTTACTAGATGGACCATTTTCCGAAAAGAAGAAGTTTTACTTAATAATTAATTAACTACATTTTTTTTCTCTTGTAAAAAACCGCCACGATGCATACATTTTGAGAAACAGAATATTTTCCCAAAGCTGATATAAAAAATGTTTTTTGTCACATCTAGTTGGCAGAAATATGGAAATTTATGTTGGTATCACAAATTATATTTGACAATAAGCTTCATACACAGCTTAGAAAATTAATAATTTTTAAATTAATTAAAGTTTGGGTTTATTTTTGATTGATGCCCTCTAACGGACACAGGAAGCACTTTTTATAAAGGGAAATTATGCGCAATTAACTTATTTTGATCCAAAAAATACGTAGTTGTTCTATGTCCAGGAAATATTAGAACTCCCTGTATATTTTGTAGGTCTGCTTTGGAAAAATAAATTCTCCAAAATTTTTTTTCGATCTGTCGTCGGTGGAGTTGAAAAAGATTTACTCTAAAATTTCTGTAAGGCTGGGGGTAGTTTGCACCCTTCCCGTACTTTTTTTTATTTTTGTCGAATGAATTGATTGAAAGTCAAATGTTAAAGCACTTTTTCTTGATTTTTGTCAAATTAATTTGATTGAAAGTCAAATGTTAAAGTACTTAGCCAAACATAGTCACTCAAAATCTCATTCAAATCGCAATAACGGTCTTTAAAATATCTGAAACACATTTGTGAAACATTATTGTGAAACACAAAGTTAAGCATTTTTTGTCCGTTAGGCAAATTTGTTTATTAGTAAACCACGGCTGACAATTAGTCTTCGTCGGATTAACGCAGCAGTGGTTACAAAAATAACTATTTTTTTGTAGATTTTCTTACAGTGACGAAATATCCATAGGACTTTTTTTAATTAATAATTAAAAAATAATTAAACTTAATTTTTTTAAATGCTGACCTGCATTTTATATTTCATGTTTTGAAAAAACTCGTTTAACACAATTTATTTCAACACAATTTATTTAAACTAATTTCAAGATCGGCTCTGTTTTTTTAAATATTTAATCTATTCATAGGTATCGTTACAATATTGATTAGCTTTCAAACTTAACAACGACGTGGGGTAAAACACTGAATACTGAAAATCAAATGCAATAAAATAATACAGATAATATAAAATAAATAATATAAATATAATATAAACAATGAAATAATTTCCCCGGAAGATGAATTGGAAATGGTGGAGCACTATAGTAGTAGCCAGCGAGGTTTCTGAACCTTTCGCCATATTATATGACGTCGTTTGTAAAAGTGAAATCAATACATCTAAACATTTACAATAAAGAGTACAAAATGTATTCGGAAGTATAATCGGAAGATGAAGATCTATTCAAAGAGCTATAAACAAAATTGACCAAAAACTAAATTTGTGCAATAGGGAGGGTGGTAACCCTTTAGAACATGTAGAGCATTAGAAACTAGTTTGTAGAAGTTGATTTATTTATAATAACTACGATTAATATGATGGATATTATTAGATCGTACACTGAGATTTTAAGTTCACAATAAAAAAAATAAAAATATTATCTTTAAATTGTTGACCTGGATATTATTTATTTAATTCGATTTGTCTTAGTCAATGTTGATTAGCGCTGGTCAATATTGTTGCGATGAATATAATCACATTAAATAATTTAAAAAACCAGAGCCGGACTTGAAATTATTTTAAATAATAATTAGATAGTGTTGTTGTTAGGTACCCAAAACAAAAAAAAACTGTTTCTCAAAACCTGAAATAAAAAATGTAATTGTAATTAGTTTTTTGATTTTCAAAAAAGTAACGACAGGAAAAAATAACATTGATTTTCAAAAAAATCTGTTTTTTGAAAATCAAAAAACTCAGCAATCCTTCAAATTTTAAAAACTTTTTTGATTGCATCTTGGTGAACACCTCAAGGCGCAACTTTGCCTAAATTTAACCATCTTCGTACCTATTACGGTTTCCGAGATACCAATGCTCGTACCTCGAATTTGTAGCACCCTTGTATCTCAACTAATAATGTCGTTTAGAAGAAAATAAGTATTTAATAGCAACAATTGATCAACACAGTAACTAGTGTTTAATTTAAGTCTTTTTAAAGTTATGCGAAAACAAAAAATGTACAAAAAAATATAAATGATGTCAAAAATAAAAGAGGCTTTTTAATACAATCTAATAAAAATAAATCTATTGCTCATGTTAGTAATGTATGGCAATCGCTTCTTTGATTTTAAAGAACATAACATAAATAAACATAACATACGTAAAGATTAAAAACAAATAATCATATAGAAAGTTTGAAGCTATTTGGTTTTGCCTTATTAAGTAAATGTTATCAGGTAGTAATTGCTAATTTTGGAGTTTTTTTGAACTTGATATGTAATTTTAACAGAACGTCAACGGTTTTTATAGACGTATCTGTTTAAAAAAAACAATAGTTGTATTTAGATATTTTAAGTAGTTTATTTATTCTTCGTTCTTTGTGATTTTTGCTTCTGATGACGGGAAGAGATATACATCCCGAAACGTTAAGCATTGTTTGTCCGTCAGGTAAATTTGTTTATTAGTAAACCATTGCTGACAATTCTTGGTTGGCTTAACGAGAGCAGTGTTTATATAATATAACATTAATAAGAAAATCTACAAAAAAATAACTATTTTTTTGTACACAGAAAGCGTTTTTTTGCGTTTTTAGCGTGAAGCGTCTTTAGCGACTAAATCAAAATAACAGGCTTATATAGGAGTGGTTCCACCAAAAGCGTGTAGCGTTCGGCGTGTGGCGCAAAAAAAACGCAAATGAAAACAAATCAGTTTGTTTTCTGTAGCGTGTTTAGCGATTTCTAAGATGAGATCCCGTCATAGGCGGACGTTATATTTAATAATACAATAAAAATAAATTAAATGCATACCTTTTTTCATTTGAAGAAACCCACCTGATGAAGGGTAGGCCCAGAAACCGGTTGTGGGAGTGGAGCTTGGTTCCCCCCTTTACGACAAGCAAAACAATTTTCTTTTTACTTTTGATTTTTTTTTCTCTACTTTCGATTTTTCGAAATTAGAAAAAATACACAGCTAAAGGCAAGAAAATATTATTTATTAATATACACTAAAGCTGTAAGAATTTTGTTCATTTCATATATATTTGAGTGGGCCGAAAAACGCTCTTTACCATCTTTTGACGGGAGATGCACTAATATCTCACCGACACTTTACGACATCGTCGTAAGAAAGGCACGTTTGCGTAAGAAAGGTTTTTTACCAGAAACAATAAGTTTTTGACGCGTAAAAAATAGCTTTTTACGTGTAACAAATAGTTTCTTACAACTAAAAAAATATTTTTTTTGGAAAAAAAACTTTTTTTACCAGAAACAATAAGTTTTTGACGAGTAAAAATTAGCAAAATAAAAACACTAAATCACCACAATACACCAAAACACTTTTACTTTTACACTGGACGCGCGTTTCGCTAACCATGTTAGCATCATCAGCAGATGATTATAAACTCAGATGATTATAAACTCAGTTTATAATCATCTGCTGATGATGCTAACATGGTTAGCGAAACGCGCGTCCAGTGTAAAAGTAAAAGTGTTTTGGTGTATTGTGGTGATTTAGTGTTTTTATTTTGCTGTTTAACACCAAAGGTTCCAACCCTCAACTGTAAGAGTAAAAATTAGTTTCTTACGTGTAACATATAGTTTTTACCCGTAAAAAATATTTTTTTTGCGTAAGAAAGTTTTTTTACCAGAAACAATAAGTTTTTACGTGTAACAAATAGATTTTTACACGTAACAAATCGTTTTATACGCGTAAAAAACAGTTTTCTACCAATAAGAAATAGTTTTATTCGCGTAAAATAATAAAAATAGCTTTTTACATGTAACAAATGGTTTTTTACACGTAATAATTTGATTCACTTTTACAAAATTTGTATTAAAATATCAATATTTTTGATAAACACGTGGACTGCTCACAAATACACGTCGAGTCACTACGTATTTCTAAGCCGTTAACACGTTTCGTTACAACTAGCTCGTGTGTCAGGGCCGTCTCGCTAGCTCGTATGTCACAGCCTTGAATTTTTACTCCCAGCGCGCGTAAAGAAGTTTCACTCCAAAAAGTTTCATAAATCATATTCTAAAATTTCGTTAGCAACTAGTAATATTTACTATTCTATTATATAATTATAATTATTTATTATATTATATTATAATTATAACAAGTAACGACAACACTACAACATAAAAAACTATACATATATAAACTAAAATTCGTAAAATAAATGGCAAATAATAATTATTACTTTTGCACAAGCACTAGCAGTAGATTGTGTTTGTCGCTGAATATATGCCTCGGTCCGTCCACAATTCAATCCCAGCATCTTTTATCTTCGTCTCTTCAACACTAACCGCGCCGATCTCGCCTATCTCTTTCTCACAGGATTGATTGTTGAGCGGGCCGGGAATCCACGAGCTTGCGACGTTACTAATTGACATCTTGATAGAAACTGCAGACTTGCCACGTTCTTTGCGTGTTTTTAATGGATACAAATAGACAAAAAAACGCTTAAAATTGTAAAATCGCGAAAAGCGCTTGAGACCCAAAAAAACGCAAAAAACTAAAAACGCTTTCTGTGTGGCCGTGCGCTTGATAATAAATAGCATTTTGTTAATTGCACTTTGTTAATTCAATTTCGTTATCTTTATTACCTCCAACGCTTTCAAAGTATCTTCCTGTTGAATTGTCCTGCCCTCGTGTAGAACACGCTGTCCATCAATTACATTATGTAACTCTGTTAGATTGTCGCTGGTGTCTTCTAATTGCTTATTAAGATCATTTATATATTTAAATTTTGCAAAGTTCTCTTCCTCTTGACGTAGAAAATCTTTAGCAATATCCTAGAAATAATTGTAAACTAACATTGTTTTGTATAGGTAATGCCAAATTATTATTCATACTGGGATTTTGCTTTGATTTGCAAATTCTTTAATTTTCATTAACATTTCGAGATAACTTTCCAGTTTGTTCTGTATAAGCATTTTGTTCTTTTCCCTTTTTTTCAAATTCATTGCTTCAAGGTCTTTCATGAACCTTCTTTGACCTTTTGTAGCAAAGAATTCTTGAAGTTTTAAATCGTTATCTCTTTTTCTTTGAAAATTTCTCATTTCTTGAACGTGGAGCAGTAAATCATTATGTGCTTTCGTTCTGGAAAACATTAAAATAAATATAAGTAAATAATTACTTGTTTAGTAAAACGCAGAAAATAAGCCATAAGTTATAAATTTACCTTCAAAAGTAGCAACAATATTCAATTTTAACCAGTTAGATATAATATTTGTCTTGGGAATCTATGGAAATAGTAGAAGAATATATACAGGGTCCCTGATATGTATGGGAACAGTCGATTATTAGGTAAAATATAAGAGGTACCGCAAAAAGTTAAATATAAAACTTATAGGGTTTTTAAATATCTATAGCTATCTATAGCATTTAAGTATACACGGTCGGCCATAAAGTCGTGGCACATCAAAGTTCCATTTTTTTAAATGGAACCCCCTGTATATTACTGCATATTCCTAAGAAAAAACCAGTGGCTCACCTTGTTTCGCGAAACAGTTTCATACAAAAGTTTTGAGGAACGGTTTTGCAAAGCTGTGTAACAGCTTTATACCGATTGCCGTTGCATACACAATTAATATCATCTATCCATAGGTCGCAAATAATAGCCCCGGAATCAACAAAATATAAACCAAAAACACATTCACTCTCCAGGAGTGCACCAAAAGCGAAGAAATGGGTACTTTCGAACATGCGTCGGTTAAGTAGCATCGTAGAGACTAAAATATTCACACAAAGTAACTGAGAAATTAATTCAACTGTAACTGTATTGTTTTTGCGGTCAGGTTTCCCGGACACAACAAATCCGGACTGGACCGCCCCGGATGCATATTTGTAAACGACGTCCATGATCGCGATTCGGTTCTGGTTTGGTTTGATTTGGTTTGGTTGTACCACGTAAATACCGTGTAAACAGATAAGATATCGCAAATCCGTCTGGGAAATAGCATCCGTGATTCCAAATTTTAACTGCATTAACACTTCTTATAATCACCGGATGATGTCCCGAAATTTATTAATGGGTTGCTCATAATCAGCATTCAGAATCGCAAATTTTATTTGTCAACACAAATTAAACGAGCTTAACATAAAAAAGGGTTTCAAGCGGCAACAATTTCCAATAACAACCACACATATTGCTGCTTAACTTTTGTGATCGTACGAAAAAATGCACGTTGACGTGCTTTTGATTCATAAAAATTTCGATTATTATAGAGACCTATAAAGTAAAACCTAAAATCGCGTCGAGAAATCAACAGAAAACAGATTCCCAGATGACACTATTTTATGTTCATCCAACTTACATACGTATGCAAATTACTTAAAACAAAATAGAGATATAATACGAGGCTGGGCTGAAAAATAATCGGCCTAGGTAAGAAAACATAACTTTTTTTGGCAAAACTCAATTTATTTCTCAACGTAGTCCCCGTTAAGCTCTATACACTTTGTCCAACGATTCTCCAATTTTTCGATGCCCTTCGAATAATACGATTTTTCGAAGTCCTTAAAATAGGCCTCTCTCACAGCGATGACCTCTCCATTCGACTCAAATATCTTACCACCGAGCCATTTTTTCAAGTTTGGAAACAGATAATAGTCGCTGGGCGCCAAATCTGGGGAGTATGGCGGATGAGGAACCAATTCGTAACACAATTCATACAGTTTTGCCATTGCGACTGCACATTTATGCGCCGGTGCGTTGTCCTGGTGAAGAGCACTTTCTTCTTCGCTAAATGTGGTCGTTTTTGCTTCAAATCGGCGTCGAATCGGTCCATCAACTTTGAGTAATATTCGCCGGTGGTCGTTTTGCCCTTTTCAAGGTAATCGATATGAATAATACCGTGCGCATCCCAAAAAACAGTGGCCATGACCTTGTTGGCAGACAGGCTTTCTTTGGCTTTGACTCGCCCTGAGAAACCCATTGATTTGACTGTTCCTTCGTCTCTGGCGCATTGTGATGGATCCAATTGCATTTGTTCCTAGCGCCACCAACTCTTGCCGAGGCCGATTATTTCTCAGCCCAGCCTCGTATATTTTCCACAGAACTGAATATAAATTTCTAATACCTAACTTTTCTTAAAAAAAAGATCTGTCCTTAACTATAAAAAATATTCAAGAAGGAACTAAGTTACAATCTTCTTGATCTTCTTGTAATAGAAAAAGTTAAATTTTACCTGCAAAAAAACTACTCAAAGTGCAGTTTTTATTTTAAAGTTTCGAAGTAAAGCTGGTCATTCTCTAAGCATTGGGTAAAATGCCCTGGAAATTTAAAACATTCTGTAACTTTATTCATTTCAGCCATTTTTTGGTTTCGATTTATAATCTGTTTTTCTTTTAAAGTTAATTTGTTTTGAGTAATTACTCTTGTTAATTTCTGTAACTTACCTATTAACTTATCTTTCTTGCCTTTTAACAAAACGTGTTCTAATAATTTCTTTATCTATTAACTTATATTTTCATGGTTTGGGGCAAATTAATTTTTTTTGCAAAATATTATTAAGTACTATATTTTTTGGTAGACATCTTGCATTGCGAATTTTGCGATCTTGAATGCTGATTACGAGCAACTAATCAACAAATTTCGCGATATCGTCTGCTGTGTATAAGAGGAGTTAAGGCAGTTAAAATTTTTAATCACGGATGTTATTTACTAGACGGATTTGCGATATCGTATGCTGTTTATGCGGCATCGTTCGGCCTAGAACCGAGTCGCGATCATGGACGTTGTTTACAAATATGCTCTAAATGAACAGGACACCTGGCAAGAAGAACTGACAACAGATGAACCACATAAATTACAGCATGGTACCCACGCAGAATTAAGAGACCTAGAAGAAGACAAAACCTAGATCATGGTCCCATGGTATTAGAAAATTAGCCGGGATAAATTGGACCAACATGGCAAAAATAGACAACAATTCCAATTACAAAGAGATTATCTAAATATGTGAGAGAGCCTACACTATAATTGGAAATGGTTGAATAAGCTGGAAATTATTAATGATGTATGTGATTATGCTACAGGATATTGCTATATTTTTAAAACTAACCTTAGAAACTGCAGTTTTGATACCCATTCCTCTCTTTGATCGTAAGCAATGGTTGCTTGTTCAATTAGATCGATCATAAATTTCTTTCCAATGCACAAATTTTTTATTAGATTGTCCCATGTTTTATTAAACTCTGTTCTCTCATTGAGCAGATGTTGAAGCTCGTAGCGAAGATTTCGATTTTCAGCACAAATTGAACAAAACTTCTTCACTTGTACTTCCAGCTTATTTTCTAAGGTTTGGACGGTTTTCTCACCCTGCATATAATAGTGACAATTTAAAGCCATAACCATAATTTTTTAATAGGAACAATCATTATTTTGAAGCCGGCAATTTTCGTATTCCAATATTGATGATACTTATTTGTTTGTTTATAAATATTTACATTTATATTTATTTTACATTTTATAATATATTTATACAGGGTGCTACAAATTCGGAGTACGGGCATTGGTATCTCGGTAACCGTAATAGATACGAACATGGTTAAATTGGGCCAAAGTTACGCTTTGGGTTGGTCACCAAGATGCCATTAAAAAAGTTTTAAAAATTTCAAGTATACCTGAGTTTTTTGGAAAAAACTTTTTTTGAAAATTATTTTTATTTTTTCCTGTCGTTACTTTTTAAAAAATTAAAAAACTAATTGCACATTCTCATAGCCACTTTATTAGGGCTATCTGATAGTATTTTCAAATTAGCTGATAACTTGTGAGACACAGAGGCCATACTATGTGATCAAAAGCGAAAATTGATTCAGGCAATTCGACAAAAGAAGTGAGTAAACAAAGTGCCCATTACATAATAAATGTAATGAAATAGGCATATACTAAGAGGATGAAATATAATTTAATTAGCATTATTAGTGTACTAGTATGTACTTCTTTCATTTTTATGGATGGTGTTCTAAAATTAATTATGTACAATTAAAATATTTTGTTACAGTTCAGATAGCCCCTACTTATACCCCAACTAGCAAAACCGGTGCATAAAACTATGATCGCTACCGTAGTTGAAGCAGTCGGTGTGTTATTACTAATCTATAAAGTTATATTAGCTTGAGTAATAAATTATAATATACGTTAGACCTTCTGAAAATATCAAAATATTTACATTTTTTTAGAATTTTTACAAATTGCACTCGCTAATACTTTTCAAATATTATAATAACAACATTTTTCGTCTTTTATTTTCGTATTTAAACCCATGTATTTGATTAGTCGGCTGTTTAATCTCCGATGGTTGTAACATCGGTGGAGAATGCACCAAGCCTATACGGAAATAGATGCATAATTCTACAGGACCTCTGACATACACAGTGCTTTACGTTGGCTTCTAATACAAAGTCAGCAAAATAAAAAAAATATATTTTCTGTAAACTGGAATGTCAATTAACGAAATATCGTAAGGCATGACAGTCTCATTTAGTATTATTATTCAATAGTAATTACAGCACGGTACCCACGAGGAATTAAGACACCTAGAAGAAGACCGAACCTGAGATGGGATCATGATATTAGGAAATTAGTACGAAAATTTTGGGCCTGCATAGCCAACAAAAGACAACTATGAGTCCAACTACAACTAGAGTATATGAGGGAGTCTACATCATAATTGGGAATGGTTGAATAAGCTGAAAATGATAATGATGATGATGATGATGATGACAAATTCAATCTGCCAATCTGTGTAACAGGAGAATAAATATACAGGGTGGTCCGAATTGTATTCCGGAAACTTCGGCAGTATATTCTGCAGATAAAAATAGGTAAAAAAGTTCGTATAAATGTATGTCCTAAAATGCTTAGTTTTGGAGATACAGAGAGGGTGTAGAAATTTCATTTTTATTTCGATTTTTTCCAAATAATTTCTGAAGTAACGTCAACATTTAGATGAAAATTGGGGTTTGGGAGCTTTTGACATGAGAAATTTGATTTTGATGTCAATATGACTCCTACTGGTAGAGGGCGCCACCTACATGTGTTTTAACTGTTTTGAAGCGTAATAACTTTTTGTCCGTACCTGTATAAAACTACCGAGGGAAAAAATATACATCTCTGTGATTTTTTGCGTAAAAAATATCTCTTTGTAAAAATCGCTACAAGTAACAGTTCTCAAGATATTTAGAATGGAAATAGTCAATACATGCCATTATTAATGAAAAATAAACACGTTGAGTAAATAGTTATTTCAATGAAATAATAAATTTGGGAACTTTGTTTTAAATTAATCATATTTATTCTGCAAAAAAAAATAATGATAAAACAGTTTTTGTTGAACTTTTGGTACTAAGACATTTCAGATTTATGATCTCAGTCCAATAACTATTTAGTCAACATGTTTAGTTTATGGCAGTGATGACAGGTATTGATAATTTCGATTTGAAATATCTCGAAAACTATTACTAGTAGCGATTTTTACCAAGAGACCTTTTTTACGTAAAAAGCGTCGTAAATGTATACTTCTTACTCAGTAGTTTTATACAGGTACGGAGGAAAAGTTATTACTCTTCAAACCAGTTAAAAAATTTGTAGGTGGCGCCCTCTACTAGTAGGAGTCATATTGACATCAAAATCAAATTTCTCATGTCAAAAAACTCCCAGACACGAATTTTAATCCAAATATTGACGTTACTGCAGAAATTATTTGAAAAAAATCGAAATAAAAATGAAACTTCTACACCCTGTATCTCCGAAACTAAGCATTTTTGGATATACATCTATACGAACATTTTTACTTAATTTTATCTGCAGAATATACTGCCGAAGTTTCCGGAATGCAGTTCGGACCACCCTGTATATTATCATAAGATCCTAATTAATGCAGTTACTGCAGCACTATGGGTTCAGCGAACATCTCTCGAATGGTTTAAGTCGTATCTGAGCAACAGAAGTCAACTTGTGAGGGTGGATACCACGTTGTCTTCTAGCAAGTCAATATAATGTGGAGTACCTCAAGGCTCAGTACTAGGCCCTATTTTGTTTCTTCTTTTTATTGATGACATTGCTAACATAAATATCAGAGGTAAAATATGTCTTTTTGCGGACGACACTAGCTTCACTTGGAGCAACAAGGACGTCACGGCACTTCATAGGATTAGAGATCTAGAAGAGAGCTGTTCGATATTCACTGGGACTAAACAGCAGAACTCATTGCCAGGACTTTTTGAAAAAAAAATAAAATATTAACCCTTCCTTCCTTATTTATATTTGAATCCGTTTGCCTAATACGTAAGCATATGTCAGCTTCTCAAGAAAGGCCATCTCACACTTATTCATTCAGGAACGCGGAGCAAGATCTTTATCTACCTACCCCACGCTCTTCTTCTTGTAGTACCATCTTCTAATGAAGGTTGGCAACAATCGCGGCGAAACACTGTCTGTCCTGTGCAGCTCAGAACAGTTCGTGTAAGCCTTGTATATGAAGAATATATAAACAAGGGTGTAAGTTAATACACTAGTAGTACCCCACGCTCAGAGTTAGTTAAAAGTTCAATGTTATACAACTCGAAAAAAATGCACAATCACCTGCCATTTGAAATCAAATCTATAACATTATTTTCTTCATTTCGCAAGCATTGAAATTTTATTTACTAGAGAAGGCTTTCTACGCCGTAAATGACATATTTTGATAATCGAATTTGATCATGTAAACACTGGTCTAATATTTGCCATTACTATATTTACTATAAACTTTCAAAATATTTTTGAATCTTATTTTTATTTTTTGTATTCTTTGACATTGTAAACATTTATAAATATATTTTTTTTAATTCATAATGTATAAATGTTTATTTTAAACAATAAGACTGACAATGTAATTTGTATACTTGTTTTGTATTCTCTTTTGTTTGTTTGTTTGTTTACTTTACCTTTGTCTTCAAATTGTAAATTTTTTTGACAATAAAGGCATTTATTTATTTATTTTAACAGAATGCATAGAAAAAATGGCAGAAAAAACTACTTTGTATTAAAATGACGCGTTGTAGCTGTCTCTTAATATTTTTTATTGGTCAAATCATAGATAACAATGGCAGTGAAGCGTCTTTAATGGCGTTTAGTTGTGGGATAGTAACATATTTTTATTGCATTAATAAAATTATGTAAAAATACTTAAATTCGTTCTATAAATAAACGAACCACATATTTACCTTGATTATTCTTTCTTGATATTTGTTTTCTGAAATTTGTTCAGCAGCTTGCTCTAGCGCTTTCTTTTTCATTATTTGGATTTGATATTCTATTTCACTCGTGTAAGCTTTTTCCATTTTAATATCAGCATCAAACTCGTCATACTCGATTAACAATTTGTTCAACTTTTTTGATAATTTTTCATCTTGTTTTATCTTTGCCTCTGCCGAAGCAACCTGTTGGATTATGATAAAACTTAAATCCTCAGCAATATTAGAAATATAATCGAAAATATGCATTTCAATAACAATAAACCTTACCGCGAGATCAGTTAGGATGTTTCTTTGTTCTCTTTTAAAAATATCCAAAACTTTTTTATGTTTAGCAAGTTTACCACATGCTCCTCCAGTATGGAGGAACTCGGCTCGGTTTCTGTCTAAAATGATATACGTTCTAGCATAGCGTGCTAGTTCTTGCTCGGTTTGTAGAGCCAACTCGAATTTTTCTTCATCGGTTAGAGGAACTTCTTCTTTAGACATAATGAAAATATTTCAATAAACCGGTTGAAATACGAACTGATTGACATATATGACAACGACGTCTATCTATAGACATCTATATTGCTGTCAGATATTTTGAAATAGATTCAGGCAAGATCGAATATATCGACTTTCGTTATAACACAAATTTTAACTTTAAAAATGTTTATGATATCCATGTTTTTGTCAATTTTACACATATTTTATTTTTTATCTCAAAAACTCTAAAAGTTAGATGGAGCAGGCGCCTTTAAGTAAAAATCCAAAATTTTGTTAGTTTAGCCTCGTTTGGTTATATATTAACAAGGGCGTTCCTCAAGGCTCTATATTTACAAATGATGTACAAATGTGTTTTAATGGTACAGGATATTCTCTTTTATATGACTGATGAGACAAATACACTAGTAAGTGATATAGATTTATATAAAATGATTGATAAATGTAATAAGATTTCTAATACTTTTAATAAATATTGCACTAATAACGGCCTTATATTAAATTCACAAAAGACAGCTCTTATATGATTTCTTCCAAAAAATGTTAGTGTGGACTACAGCCTATATGTAGCAGTTGAAGGACAGTCAATAAGAAATAATAGCGTATTGAAATTTCTGGGTCTTAATTTGGACCAAAAACTAACATGGTATACTTACATAGATATTTTATGTACAAAACTTAGCAGTGTTTGCTTCTTAATTAGAACGCTACGTACAAATGTTAGTATGGATATACTGAGACTTGTTTATTCTGGCCTAGTACAGTCGATTCTACAGTATGGTCTGATATCCTGGGGATCCTCCTCTCACTTTCAAAAAGCTTTCAACATGCAAAAAAAAAAGATTTTAAGGTATATGCTTAATGTATCACCTGACACAGATGTGTCAGGTGATACATTGCAAGATTGCAGACCACTATTTAGAATGCATAACATAATGTCACTTCCCAACATGTACATTTATCAATTAATTTTGAATATATATAATAATAGAAATAAATTTCAATTAAACAGTGATTATCATTCTCATGAGACTAGATTTGCCAGTGATCTACACCTACCATACTCAAGGCTGAGTGTGAGTCAGAATGCATCGTCATACTTAGGCATAAAATGTTTTAATAAGATTTCTAAAATTGTGCCCAATTTGGATCAGGATAATTACAAAAATAAACTGCGGAGATTCTTATTGAATAATGTATTCTATTCGGTAAAGGAATTTTTAGATTTTTAGGTGTAATTTAAGTACTTTTTCTTTTTTTCTACTTTTTCTTTGACTAGTCTTATGAGTTGCAGAAGTATATATTTATATTTATATCTTGTTTGTATACCCGAACGATGAATAAAAATTTGTTTTATTTATTTAGTTATCGTCAGACTGATCGGCGTCGAACTAGAGATGAGTAGATCCGGTATTTTAAAAGGGTCGGATCCGGTTAGGTTATGAGTTAAAGTTTCAAAAAAAGTCCTACTATATCTACAAATTTATTTACCCACTAGTAGATATAAAAAGTATTTCTGGTAAACTCTGTCTCAAATAGTTTCTGAAAAATAAAATTAATTTTTTAAAAGGTCCGATTAAATGTATATCTTCGAAACTAAAGTTTCAAAAAAAGTCCTACTATACCTAAAATTCATTTGCCCTCTAGTAGATATAAAAAACACTTTTGGTAAACTCTGTCTCAAATAGTTTCTGAAAAATAACATTAATTTTATTAAAAGGTCCGATTATGATCAAGCTTCGTGGACCTGCATCCAGGTTCAAGTTGTTTGTTTAATTTATCTAAATTTTGTTTTGCATGAAGCAATCCGCGTTCAAAAGTTTTGTAGTCGGTTAGGGAAATCTGATGTTAGCATTTTTCCAAATCCTTACTACCTATTTAGCTGTTCACTTTATTTAATAGATGTACCTTAGGGTAAACATTTATAACTATGAGACAAAGCATTACGAACTTTACATACTAATAAAAGATAGTCGAGACTGCCGCATAGGGATTGCTTCATGCTAGAAGCAAAAGGATCGGCATTTAAAAGATAATATTTTTAAGAAATAAAATGGCATTTTTTTACAAAAAATACTAAAACTAAATTTGAACGTAGTCCTCGTCTGCTGGTTGATTTGACGAACCCTGTATGATCATAATATATTCTAGAATTTCTTGAATTTGCCAATAGAGTAACAACTTAAAAAACAGTAAACACAACTGCAGTTACATTTCCTTCTTTATTTCAATACTCTCCAATAATTATTTAGTTCGCTGCATCGTTATGTATGCGTTATCTGCCGACGTTAATGCAGTTCCGCGGATAGGGATCGATATTAAGTAGGATCTGCATCCAATCAGTACTGGCACCGGAGAGAGGTCCGTGGATGCATATCCATCCGGACCTACCCATCTCTACGTCGAACGCTGGATGGTTGTTTTATGATAAAACATCTTTAGTTGCGATCCATTCCGTATCTACTTCCCTGCATATTTGATTGTAAATAAAATATTTTGATTTTCTTTGAAACATAATGTTTTCATAAGACAAAAACGTCATTGCCCGACAGAAAAACGTTTTTGACCAAAACAGTTTTGCTGTTTCTTTGTGCATCGAGCCTAAGCATTACTTTTTATGCAAAAAACACAACCTGTACCAAGAGAAGGCTTGAAAAATTATGGACACTCTGCACTATCAATACTGAGTTCTGTTGTGGTTGTACCATCACAAGTAACGCCGAAGTCGACAAAAAAGTCGTCACTACAGAAATCGTGGGTAAAATCAAAAGTTAATTGACTGCGTAAACTGCCTCGTATCATTCACTCATTTTTCCATTTATAACGAATATGAATAGACTCTACCCACTCAAAATACTTTCGATTGTAGTCATCAACTGATTAAGATTTATTACTAAATTGTTTTTTAGTGTATCACTGAAATGTCTTGGAACGTTGTATATAGACAAACTTTCTTATTTTGACCCGAACTATTAATATACTGTAACAAACTGTTGGTAGTATCAGCCATAAGTCTATTTTTATAAGTATAAAATTTATTACTTTCATTACAACACATTAAAACTTTAGAAAAATAAATTTTATGATTCTAAAAAGATATAAACATTTAGTGACTAATCCTAGGACAGTGTTAAAACTTTCATATTATTTTAAAAATATCTTATAACATTGGAAATGAACTTCAATGACCTAAATTTTTCAGACATGTTGCAATTACACATACCGTAGAGATTTCTAATTTTAAAAGTTTATAAATGACATATTTTCTGAAATCAGGTATTACTTTATGGCAAAGAATTACTCAGTATCTGTGAATACACCATTAAAATTTCACTAAAACAAGTTCAAAAATATATATTAAAATTAATAGTATAACAAAATTTAGTAAATTTTTTAATTATTGTATTACTATATATAATTTTTGTTTAATGTCGTAGATGGCTATAGAAGAAGTGAAATACATAAAAAAATTGTAATAAACCCCACAATTGTAGAAAACACTGCTGCATTTTGCGTTTAAAATACTACCTAACCAAGTTGTAGCTTTTATTTCTATCAATTTTTACATCTCCAAAATAGTTGAAAATGCTTGAATTTATACGAAAATAGCAAACACGTGTGGTGGTAATTCTAACAATTTGTATCAGAGAATATTCAGATTGTACTCGTTGAAATTTATATGAAAATTATTATTATTACAAATTCTGGCACTACTAACTACACTTATAGTTGCACAAAAAACGCAACATTGCGTCGTCAAATTAAACGTATAATATCTTTCTTTTAGGCTTATTTTTATGATTTTTTAGCAAACTGTATATAAATATGTGTATTTTAATTTATAAAGCCAGTTTTTTTTATAAAATTTAGTCTTTGTCTTATTATATCTAGAGTGTTAAACGAAGGGCTGTTTTTTACCTTAACTTTAAAACACAGTGTGCCATAAGTTAGTGAGCAAAATTTATTAAAACATTTTTTTGGGTATCTCGGAAACTACTGGAGATAGAGAGTCGGTTAAATGGGGAAAGAATTGCAGTATTGTGGGGTCATAAACAACTCCCTTTCAGATTTTTGAAAAAGTTCATGGCTTACTAGATATTTCGAAAAAAACAAATTTCGGCTATTTTAAAAATTGTCCCTAATCCATTATAAGCTATTTTAGACAGAAAGTTTTCAGATAAAAGTTGTAGATAATCACATTCTTAATGAGATTATGTCCTCTGTCTTTTTCTAAAGCCTGTCATTTTTGACTTATGATACAAATATATGTTTTTTTTAAATGGAAACCATAGTTGGCCATGACTTCATAAAAAGCGCCATTTTTTAAGCTTTTTAGCGATATAAGCTATAATATGTTTTCTTCGAAAAATTACTGAGTTACAGCCAATTCCTATCATTTTTAAACAATTTCACTTAGTTAGCCATGGAAACAAGTTCAATCGCCGTTGCTCTCAGAAATGTGAAGCTGTCACATCCAAACTTTGTAAATTAAAATAAACAAAAATTATTGTAAATATGAATTTTTCAAATGTGGTTCCAACATGACTTTCATTATGCCCCCCCCCCATAATGAAAGAAATGTTAAAATTATTATATCACAATTATGCAAACTCAGGGATAGGAAGAGGTCGACCAATTGCATGGGGCTCCTCGATCACCTAACCTATCCATTTTAAATTTTTTTATACGGTATGGTCAACAATAAGGTTTGCAAAATGAATTAATAAGGTACAATAAATGAATTAAGAGAGGTACTCGAAGTGGCGGTACGAGAGAAATTTAATTAAGTCGACCGGTCCTTCTGTGAGAATAGGTAGTAGTTCAGTTTAAAAAGATGCAACTCAAAACAATGGCGGATTTTTTGAAGATTTTCTAAAATAACTTAAAGTGTATGTAGTGAGATTATCTTTTTAAGTTTAATTTGTGTAATGTAAATTTAAAGAACCGTTTAGTAATATATTCTGACTTTTTATAAGTTATAAATCATAACAGAATAAGAATACCATGCAATCTAAGTGAAATTAGTCAAGAAAAATAAGAATTGGCTATCACTAAATTTAACTTTTCTAACATGTCTTGAAAACCGTTCTCTAAAAAATGTGACATTCACTGGTCAACGTATCCCCGAAAATGTATGGTCAAGAAAAGTTGAACCAATAATCCTACACGCTTTTCTTCATTTGAAAAATTCATATTTACAATTTTTGATTATTATTAATTTAAGTTTGGATGTGACAGTTTCACATTTCTGAGAGCAACGACGATTGAACTTGTTCTCATGGTCAACTAAGTGAAATTGTTAAAAATTATAAGAATTGGCTATAACATTTTTCGAAGAAAACATATTATAGCTTATATCGCTGAAAAGCTTAAAAAATGGTGCTTAATTAGGCTTTAGAAAGAAAAACGGAGGACACAATCTCATTAAGAATGTGATTATCTACAACTTTTATCTGAAAACTTTTAGTCTAAAATAGCTTATAATGGAATTAGGGCCAATTAAATAAAATAAAGCCGAATTTGTTTTTTTCGAAATATCTAGTAAGCCATGAATTTTTTCAAAAATCTGAAAGGCGGTTGTTTATGACCCACAATACTGCAATTCTTTCCCCATTTAACCAACTCTCTATCTCTAGTAGCTTCTGAGATACCCATAGAGAACATCGTAGGAAACTCACCCTGTATATGTACATTTTCTTAGTAGTTTTTTTTGCCATTTTTGGTAGTTTTACGGCAGTCGTCTATAATAATCACATGGCAGTCATTGGCACTCACTTGGTAGTAAAATGATATTTTGACAGTACATG